CGCAAGTTAACATGAACGTTAACATCCCCACCCCACCCCAACCCAGTGACGTGACGTCAGTTGTGCATGTGACGCAAGTTAAGTTAACATGTATAACATCCCCACCCCACCCCAACCCAGTGACATGACGTCAGTTGTGCATGTGACGCAAGTTAACATGAACGTTAACATCCCCACCCCACCCCAACCCAGTGACGTGACGTCAGTTGTGCATGTGACGCAAGTTAACATGAACGTTAACATCCCCACCCCACCCCAACCCAGTGACGTGACGTCAGTTGTGCATGTGACGCAAGTTAACATGAACGTTCACATCCCCACCCCAACCCAACCTAGTGACGTGACGTCAGTTGTGCATGTGACGCAAGTTAACATGAACGTTAACATACCCATCCCAACCCAACCTAGTGACGTGACGTCAGTTGTGCATGTGACGCAAGTTGAACGTTAACATCCCCACCCCAACCCAACCCAGTGACGTGACGTCAGTTGTGCATGTGACGCAAGTTAACATGAACGTTAACATCCCCACCCCACCCCAACCCAGTGACGTGACGTCAGTTGCGCATGCATCAATTTCAAGAGCAACTTGAATTCCTATCAGCAAAAATGACAAAAACACAGGGGTCGTTAATGGCGCCGTAGGCTAAAACAACCCCTCTGAAAAATATGAGTCAGTTGGGATGATGACATTCCCAACTGAATGGAAAGTCAAAAATGTTCCAAACCACCAACCAGTCATTGAACCCCCCATGAAATCCCAAAAAAAAGTCCCCCACATTTTGCCCTAGCAACTCTTCGTTCAACTCCTCTGCCACGGCAGCAGAGCTTGCTCCCGAGCTCGCGGCCGGGCGCTGGAAGCTGGGGGTCCACATGGCGCAGGGTCTGCAGGGTCTGCAGGGTCTGCAGGGTCTGCAGGGTCTGCAGGGCCCATGGCACTGGAAAAGTCAATGGAAAATCAATGAATGGAGGTTTTAGGAGGTAAATCATCCATATGGGAGATTGTCCATAGCTGTGGTTAATTACCAAACGCTGACATCAAAATACAAAATGTTTGTTGCAACTGTGATTTGAAACAAAATTAAACAATAATAACAAATTATATCCCGTTGGCATACAGCAAACATGAAGGCGTGGCTTGCTTGAAACGAGCCATCAAGTCAGGCTGAAACGATCCATGGGGCTTTTGCTGGTTCAATCCGATCCCATAACGTTCAGCACACCAGCGGCCTCAACCAGAGAAGATCCAAAAATAAACCATGATTTTGCTGACTATTTGTTGTTGAGGTTACAGAGTGGAAAACATTCGAAAATCACCAGCAGTCCTCACCAGCAGCCATGCTTCTGATCATCTAACAGAGGTAGCTTTGGTGCAGCCTAGGAGTGATAGGTTTAGATGCAGTCTCACGGGCGTCTCCCAGCACGCACGCAGCAGTTTTCTATGTTGGCGCTGAACACTGGGTTTGGTCGCAACTTTGGTCTCAACTAGGTCCAAAGTGTCTGTTTGATGGCACAGCCACCCAGCCCAAAACTATGAAAGTCATTTCTGATTAGCACTCCCTTACGGTTATACTGCAAATAACGCCCGGGCAAACCAAGGAAACAAGGAAGAATGTGGCACAAGAAAAAAAGACTTTTGACATCTCCGTCATGTGGCATCTCTTTCTTTTGCTATCTCTTGTTCCCTTGTCCTTCTCGTCTCTTTCTCCTCTCATCCCTTTTTCTTGATGCCTCTTTCTCTCGACATCTCTGTCTCTTTTCATCTCTTGCTCTTGGCACCTATCTCTTTCTCATTCTTTCTCTTCAGTTCTCTCTTTTTGGGCATCTCTTTCTTGTGGCATCCCCTCCTTTTGACGCCTTTCTCCTGCCATCACTTTTTCATGTCTCTTTGCATTGAAACCTTTTCCATCCTTTTCCTCTTCACATCTATTTCTTTTCTCTTTCTCTTCATTACTTTCTATCTCTTTCACATGTTTCCTATTTTTTGCTCATCTCTTTCCCTTGTCATCTCAGCAGCAACATGCAAATCACCTTGACGCAGCAATTGCCACACAGCAAATCGAGTTCCCAAAACTGGATCTCCGCACCAACGCAGCCACGGGATAATTTTGAAGCCTTTCTTCCGCGTTCAAAGCCTCCAAAATGAACCAAAAACTTGCCACCGCACCGCGCGTAAACGCAGCACTGGGCAACATTGAGGCAGGCACCGACTACTTCCGATATCTTTCCAAAATAGAATTCGTGCGAGAGCCCTTTCAAAATCTTTCAAAAAGGGTACGTTGAAGTGGGGAAAACAAAGCTGTCGGGTGAGAGGCCCTCCAAAAATTGCAAGCTGAGGTTGTGAAAACGAAGCGTCGCGTGAGACCTCGTCCAGAAGGAAAGTGTAAGTTGACTCCACTCTCCTCTGCTCTACTTTACTTTTTCCTAATCGAAGGAAGTTTAGAAGTCAAACTTCCGACAATATGGACAAATGAAAAGCAGAGCAGGGCAGAGGCAGAGA